GGTTGGAAAATCAAAACAACTTCAATAAACCAGTAACAATGAAAAACAGTATAAGTACTGTTAATACTAATACGATTAATAATAGAAATATAAATGTACAAAACCAATATTGAGCTTCCTGATCATGATCGTTGATAGTGTACCTCAGTGGCTCACACAGGTGCTGCCGCAGGGCAGACACTTGAATGTCCTGGACTGGACTCTGCAGGAGACAGGAACCAGATTCAGGAATGCGCAGGTCAGGATCGGAGACAGGAGAGCGAGCAGAGCACCACACCAGGATGCCGACCATGAAGGAAAGAGCTGACCCCCGTGATCCTTGAGCTTTATACTGAGTATTCCTGTGGGTGGGCTGGAATACTGCATTGGTCAGGCCTGGGTCACCTCTCACCTCCACAGCTACCTGCGGTTTCGACTCTTTTCCACCTCGCCCAAGGTGGACTCCAAGAGAGCCTGTAGGGAACAAGCACGCACACCTGGGCCTTTCTGCATAACAATCCTGCTCCTGCCCCAGCAACAACTACAGACATCAAATGCCGTCAGCTATAAAAGCAGGCACTGCCTGAAAAGCCTGTAGTCAGCTTCAGACAGTGCAACTACTTAGGAAAACTTAACTGAAGGAAAATCTACTGAAAGGAGAAATGGTCCTATTTTAGCCAAACTGGGACACTATTGAAAGCTAAAGCATGGTATGAAGGACTCTCCATATGAAAAGCAAGAGAAAACAAATCAGAAATAAATCAAAATGCTTAAAAGGCAGGATATTTAAAAAGGAGACACTTGGAAGAGGTTGAAATTGAAGTTAATGTAGGAGAAAAACCATCCTGCTGTTTTTTTCAGTTGGCTGCATGCAGTTTGATCACCAAGATAGAGGAGCAGTTGCAATGGTAGCAACACTTTCCTGTTAGCCTTTGCCTTGATCCATATAGATCTCCTGATACCAGATTTAATTTTGAAATAGTCTGTAGCTGACACCAAAAAAAGTGTAAAATACTCATTTTACACTCTCCAGATAGAAAATCTGACAAATACTTCTAATGTGCTGAAGCTCAAGTGTTACTGCTATGAGGCTTGAGGTCATCTGCTGGCATGTTCGAGGAAGATAAATGTCTCCTGTGATTAGGAATGAATCAAAATACTCCCATCCATTATAAGAACTCTCTTGAATGACCGTCTCTTTGAAGAAACAGATTTTGCATCTTTCTGCAACAAGTTTGGTTTTGCCCAGAATTATAATGGCTGAAAGGAGCTATGGACACTGTCTTTAAAACTACAGGCTCTGCATGTATCCCTGCTGCTTTGAGACTAGTCATTAAAGAGTAACTTAAAATATATGGTGACTGAAACTGTATGGAAGTATTAATGAGCTGTAGCTGAAACCTAAAGATACCCAGGAATAAAAGCTGGCTTTTTTCGAGGAAATGAGGCTATGTTGCTGCATTTTCCTTACAATCTACCGTAGAGATTTCTGAAGTGATTTTATAGCGTTGCAGCCAGTGGTAGTTTCTTCAGCATGTCTAGCATGTTGCATAATTGAGAGAGAAATTGCATCTATAAGCATTATAGCTGTGATAGTAAGCCTGCACATGAACACAATCTACACCAACAGGGCAAATTATTAGTATAAACTGTATTTTCCAGTCATGATATGTTATGGGTGAAGCTCTTCTGTAATTTTTGTTATTCTTAGTGAATCCTCTGCATCGCCTCCTTGCTGGCTTATACCACTTTCAGTCTCAGCCTCCTCCGTGTTCCCTTTGCAGCTGTTGGGGGGAAGGGAGAGCTGCTCTGCTCGTTATTGTTACTGAAACAGATTTTTCTTTCTTTTGCTTTCCTTCTTTTTTCCAGCTCCTATCATCTTTGCTTTTTAGGGAGTGTTCTTGATTAACACAAAACAAAAAAATAAGCTGTATTCTACCATAGTATGTATGCTTATTGAGGTATTTGAAGTAGTGTGTAGTCTGTAATAATCTATTTGAAAAATAGTTTGAGTCCTTCTGAAAGGAGGGCATGTAAAACCTCTGGAGACTTAAACCATTGCCTGAGACCATGTGATGACTGCTTTCTCTTCCTGAAGTGTAGGTACTGTACATTAGAGAACAGCAATTGCATTTCTCTTCCCTGCAAGAGCTGAACTGCTTTTGAAAGCTCTGCTTTACCCTTGCAGATAGATAGTGGATATACTTACACAAATATTTATTTGTGGTTTTTAAACCATAACAGTGACATGTTGACAAACTGGGGGGGGCGAGGGAGGGCGATAGCCAGCCAGGTGGTAAGTCATTGGCTTGCCCCGTGGCATAGCATGGCATGGAGTTACTTTAACTTGCTGGGCTCAGTCAGCTTCAACATGAGGGTTACTTCTGCTTTCTAATATTTTCTGACATTACTGTGTAGTGTTTGATATTATGTCAACCTACATATGAGTTTGACATAGAATATGTACTTTTTTTGTCACACATTTTAAATGACTTGTTTAAATAGCCTTAGCAACAGATGGCTTGGTTGACAGCATGAAGTAGTTGTTGGAACTGCAAAACCCACAGTGCTTGGATAATTCAACACGTTTGATGCTTTTATCTTAGATCATACCTTTTTACTTTAAGACTTTTAAATCTGTAATTACCTGTTTAAAACAACCTTGAATGTTACATTTTGGGGTTGAGCGCGTTTTGAAATTGTTTCTTTCTCAGTGCTGTATCAGATATGTTTTAAGGTTGCTCTGTGCTAATTAGGCCCCACTTCAAGCTGTCAAACTGCTATTGTTACAAAGTATTACCACTCCCTCCACCCACATGATTTGCAGAGTGCAGAGTAATACAGCATTACAAGCAGACTTGAAATACAGTATAGCAAGATGAAGCTGAAGGGATGTGTTCCTCCTGTTGAATCTCTTTCCTTATCCTATGGATAGCTGAAAATTACTAGCACTTTTTATTATTTTTTTTATTATTTTTAAATTAACTTTCTAGCTAATCTATTTTCTTCAAATATGAAGCATACATGTAAAATGCTTGTTTGAGTTAAAGACAGCTGTCAGGGAATGATTCATGTTTGTTTTCAGTGTTCCCACATGTGACACCCAAAGGAATTAATGGCATAGACTTTAAAGGAGAAGCTATAACTTTCAAGGCAACTACTGCTGGAATCCTTGCCACACTCTCTCATTGTATTGAACTCATGGTAAAACGTGAAGAAAGCTGGCAAAAAAGGCTAGATAAGGTAAGATCATTTTCCTTTTACTTTTGTTGAAAAAAACATTTCTTGAGTTTGAAATTGAAATTTCAAATGAGCTGTTAACTTACTTTATTCCAGGAATTGCTTTTATTTTTACTTACAGCATTTATTAATTTTAGATGCTTTCGTCATTGCTCCTATAAAACATTAAAGCCTTATCCTGACTGGTGATATAGTAACGTTATTCATCATAGTCTTTCTTTTCCCAGCCCTTGTTCAGATAGTAGTCCTATATTTTTTTCCTATCTATAGAGAACCCGACAGTATTCCGTAGTAATAAGCGTATTGCAGCCTTCTAAGAGAGACCTAATTATCCATGCTGGCAAAATGATGTGCAGATCTCTGAAATGTTTTATTTGTGATAAGAGATGATGACAATACTGAGGAGAACAACAAGTTCTAACTTTAAATGTCTCTTTAAGATACAGTTATTCACTTTCTTTTAGGAGGCTGAAGAGATTAAATCATGTTTTGTACTAATTGGCTAAATTTTTTAGGTGTGTGGTATTAGAATCTATCTGTTACTCTCATGGGAGTGATAGTTCATGCTAAGCCTACTCAACCACTATAGCAACTCGAAAGGAGCAGAGTGTTCTCTCATGAGGTGTGCTGGAGGCATGGCTAGGTTGTACTCGAGGCTTTGATTTCCAGAATCCTGCCGTCACTGGCTGGTGTCCTGTGCAGTCCTCTAGCTGTTGTTGTCTCTTGTTTTTCATTTAACTTGTTTCCATGTAGTGTGTATCACACTTCAGATCTTACTCCATATGTTTTAGTGGCACATGATTCAAAGAATGAATGCATTCAGACAACACACATCCATGTTTGAATCCTTGCCCCGTCTCCTCTGTGGTCTTTGTCCATATGTCAAAGACCTTGCCTTGTCTAACTGTATTGCAACTTCTGTCAACACTTAGTTTGTTACTGCTTTATCTAAGTAATTGGAGGAATTACAGAAGATCCAAGACTTGAAGCTTGTGCACAGGATCACAGGATAATTCAGGTTGAACTAGAGACCTCAAGAGGCGTCACTCTCTCCAACCTCCTGCTTAAAGGAAGGACAATTTGAGATCAAACCAGGTTGCTCAGGGCTTTATCAAGTCTGATTTCCAGTCTCCAAGGCTGGAGACTGCACAGCTTTTCTGGGCAGCCTATCCTGTTCAACTGTTGTTATAGTGAAAACATTTTTTCTTTATATCCGGTAGGAGTAACTCTTATTCCAGTATCTGCCTATTGTTTTTCATCCTTCTACTATAGACTGCTGTGAAGAATCTGACTCAGTTTCTTTATGACTTTCTTGGAGGTATGGGTAGGCCACTATTAGGTCCCCCCACAAAAGCTATCTCTTTTCCAGGCTGAACAAACACAGTTCACTCTTGTTGATCAGACTGTGCTTAGAGCATGGATGAAGTAGATTTTTCTTGTCCCTAGGTTAGTATATGTTAATACAGAATAATATGTTTAAATGAATTCAAATTCTGTATTGATTAGTTTTTTGTCACTTTTTTTCTTCTGTGGACTAACTTCAAAGCACTTGTTTTTAGCTGCAGCTCGTTAACAAATTCAAACCTAAATTTCACTTCGGGTCTCATGTGACTGATACCTCATACAGCATAAGTAAATACATTTTAAAGGGGGTCACAAGGTTATTTGGACTTGTTTTCCCAGAAATTAAAATAGCAAAAGCTTTTTAAACCTTGGAGGTTTTAAGTTGCTCTACTTCAGTAGACTTGCAACTTTTTTAAAGTCACATTTGTGAATGAAGTTTTCTGGGGTTTACAGCACACTCATGGTAAAGTACTTTAATTCTGATATAAAATAATCACTTTTTATTTGTATTCCTCTAATTCCTAGCCTTTTGGAAGAAGAAATTTTTATCAAATTAAGTAATATGGAAGTGTAGTGCGCTAGCCTTGGCTAAGAGCCAAATGCCCACCCAGCTACTCATGACCCATCCAGCAGGATTAGCGGAAAAAGTAGGATAGAAAGCTTGTGGGTCAAGAGAAAGACAGAGATTGCTTACTGGTTCTTGTCATGGCAGAATGTTCTTCACTTGGGGAAAATCAATTTGTTGCTGATTTAAAATAGATCCAGTTAATGGGAAACAAAAAGACAAACACTGTAACAGCTTGCTTCCTCCAATTCCCAAGCTCAACTTCCCTCCTTCACTGCAGGCCCTTCCGTGTGCTGCTTGCTAGCCTCAAGCAATGCGTGTTGAGGAATGAGGGGGTTGCAGTCAGTCCAGAACACTTCATCTCTGCCACTCCTTCCTTCTCACACTTTTTCCTTGATCCAGCACAGGTCTTCTCCATGGACAGCAGTCCTCTGGGAAAAATCTGCTGTGGTGTGGGTCCTCCACAGCACGTGGTTCCTTCAGGAATGGTCCATCTGCTCTGGCATTGGGTCCCTCCCAGGGCTGCAGTGTGGATATGTTCTCTGCCTTGGAGCTGCGCTTCCTCCTTTTCTGGCATTGTCATCTTCTCTGTTGTTTCTCACTTTTTGTTCCCCCTTCCTTTCTCCCTAAGGTGTTTTTTGCTCTTAAATACATTTTCAGAGAGGTACCACGTGCATGTGTGCTGTGTGCTGCAGTGGATCTGTTTTGGAGCTGGCTAGAACCACCTGTGTCTGACAAGGGGCAGCCCTGGCCTCCCCCCACAGAGGCCACCCCTGTAGTCCCCCATGATCAGCACCTTGACACTTACACTTAAAGACTGCAGTTGACTGTGTTCAGACCTCTGCTAACACTGTTTCGTTTCACTTGTAGAATTGCTTTTGCTTTTCTTCTATCTTGTTCTTTTAGTAGTTATACTTGCCTTTATAAGAGTATCTTCTGTAATTGGGCCTGAGCAAAAAACATTGCTCTGTCATCTGGTAAACAAATGTGAGAGGAGAACGGTGTTGATCTTTGTACCTTTGATTTTCTTGGATAGATATGTAAACTGCTCTGAAAAGGAAGTAAATATTGTGAGATGATAAAGTTCAGAGTATCTTCTCTGAGAGATTAGAGGGGAAAATTGCATGAAATTGGGTAGCTCTATGTGTTTATTTCTAGCTGGGAGGATTTTAGAGCTCTTGTAAATCTGTCCAGTGCCTGTAAAAGACTGTCTAGTGGAGCTGAAAGGGGCAGCATCAAGTTTGTCCTTTGTCTGTCAGCAGATTCATGCTGCTGGCCTTGCACAGTTTTGTCATAGAGAATAAAATCTCTGTCAGTGGCTACAGTCGATGAGTGTTTTACAAGTAGTGTAACTGCCACTGTAATCCAGCTCACTCTGCTCTCCAGCCTCCTCACTCTACTAGCTTCAGAACTGCATTTTACTTAACAGCAACACACAAAGGTGATTAGTAAGAGTCCCACTACCTCACAAAGTCACACAGCCTCCATCTTGTAGAGGGTTAGCTTAACCTAAAGATGCAAGATGGATTTATGTCTGCTGAACTTGAAGCAAATATGTTTCAAAATTATAGCTGTCGTAAAAAATTTCTCATACAAAAAAACCCTCAAGTTCAGTAGAATTTCTTAGATCTGGAGGTGACTACAGTTTGACTAGAGATGACTACAGTGTTATGAAATGAGTATCTTTCTCTATAGCCTCCCTTTTTTTTTAAATAAAAGGGGTTTAAGTTAAATTCTGAAGGTTGGAAACTATTTCTAAACCATTGAAACCAAGAAATTATTATAAAAATCAACATTTTATTTTTAAGGAGACTGCTAAAATAATGTGCTTAATGATTGTAATTTTAAATTCTATATTTAATTTTCTTTCTGTTAACAAAACAGTCAGATGGCCAGAATAAAAATGAATACAAAAACATGTAAAGTTATGTAAGGGTAATTGTAGTTAAAGCTTTGCTTTCAAACTTTTACTCGTAGCTGTTAAGATCTTGAGCTTAACTCTTATTTTTCCAGTGAAGTATATTTTTCAGTGTGAGCCTCTGGAATGTATTTTAAAATAGACTTTTTTTAAAATGGATAAACAAGGAAAGGGTTTAATCTCTAGTATTTAATCCATTGTTTTATTTGTAACAAAATCCTTGTGATGATGCTTTTCATGTTATCTTGACTAGAGCAACATTTTTCTATTCTGGTTTCCTTTGGGCTTACTAATTGTTATTAATGAGCAAACTTACCTTCTAAACATTAAACTTAACATTAAGATTAACATGTTTAGGTAGCTTATTTTGTTCAGCTTTGACAATTGTAACTTAAAAGTCCTATTAAATTTTACATAGTTTTAAGACACCAGTAATTTTTCTGCTGTGCAGTCAAACAGTTTCCGAATTTCTGCCTTATTTAGTATTGTTGCCAAGAGAAGCTGGCAGATCTGGAGAGTTGTCTTTTGACATATGTGAATTATCACTAATTTGCAGATTGAGGTGCAGAAAGTGTGGGGATTTGGGGTGAGCAGAAGGAGGAGTTTGGTTTGGGGTTTTTTTTCTTTCTCATTCCAAGTCATGCTTTATGCATCTTCAGGAGTTTGCAGTTACTTTTAAAAAAGATAAACGTGCAACACTTTGAAACATGTTAGCAGTTTTTGCCTCTTCATAATAGTTTCAAAGGGAAAAGCCTATGTTCACAAAGACAATACTGTCTTTATCTAAGTGCTGCCTTTTTTTGTAAGAATTTTTCTGTGAAAGCTATTCTACTTTGTTTTACTTCGAAACTGTTGCTTTATTTTTAAAACTTCTTCAGAAACTGGAAAATGTGTTGCAGAGTGAATGTTACCACCAAATTCTCAGCTCATAGACTCAGCCTTTCAGTATTCCTTAAGGGTTTTCCACTGCATCTTTGAAGTTCAGATGCAGTTGCTGAATAATTATACTCGTATCTAGAAGTAGTGTGTGGTGTCCAGTTGTGACCCGTAAGACCTAACTTTCTTCCACCTGAAGTGATTCTGAAAGGGAACAGAGAAACATCTTACATATTAAAGCTGAATTCTGCAAGAATTTCAGAAGTGTTTGTAGCTTTTTTGACTGAGAATATCTGGCAATGTGTAGAATTTGCAGAGGAAATATTAAACTTAACCTTATTCTGGCATTACTACTTTTTTATTCAAAATACACAATGATATAGACATCATGAGTGGCTCTAGTACAGTCACACACCTATTACGGCAGAATGATGTTGAATTGTTGTCTCTGCATGGAGTTCACAAAGTGATTCATGTTGATCCTATGCCAGCTGATTACAGACACAAACTTTCATGCTGTGACTCACTAGTATCTCGCCACATTCAACAAGTTAGCTTTTTACCAGTCTTACTTTTCATCCTTTGTTATCACTGCCCCAAGCGTTTGTGCTAAGGAGGTTTATATAAACGGTCAGCCATCTACAAAGTCTGACCCTTGGTGAACCATGAATAGCTATGCTTAAACTAGACACCGGTTTTTGCTTGCTGATCTAGTTTTTTCCACATGACTTAAAGTATCCTCAAGGTAGCTAGCTCCCCAAGGTTTGTGTTAGGTATGCATATATATGGGCACATATAATGCATGCATGCAGATAAATTCAGAAAATCAGCAGCTTTGCAATTGGCTACTTGGAAAAAACCTACACTGGTCATTCCATTTATTGGCATGTTGACTATTTTCAGTCAATTCATTCTCACTCCATCAAATGACCGTGTAATTTTACAGGAGATAGAGAAAAGGAGAAGAATTGAAGAAGCATACAAAAATGCTGTGACAGAACTGAAGAAGAAGTCCCACTTTGGAGGGCCAGACTACGAGGTACAAATTCTGCTTTTGAAAGTTTTAAAAACACTGTGACTTTTATAGATTGGTTTGTTTCTCAAAGGAGGGAAAGGGGTGTGTAAATCAAGGTGTTTGGCTTGTGCAAGTGTATTCATGCCACTTTTATTTTTCCACCTTGGAAACTGAAACTGTGTGAAGAATCTCAGTCCTTAATTTTTTGAGAATGGAAGTCTGTCTTCAGCTCAGGCTTCCAGGTTATGCTTTTGTCAAAAAGCATTTTGCTTACAGATTTTTATTGTTTTTCTTGCACATTTGGTACTGCTGATATCCATAGTTTTGTGCTTTCTCTTTTTAGTGGTTCATCTGTAGAGATATGTAAAGCAAATATGAAAACCCTGACTGCAGAGGCAGTCCTGGAATCTGAAGTCTAACTTGAATTGATTTTTAACTTGTCACTGCCACTTGGTATTTTGTGTTGACAAATTCAGTGATTTTTAGGTTCCTTTTGTCTGTTAAATTGCATATTTCATCTCCTTCCTCCTCAGTCAGGTTATCTAGTCAAATTCTAAGACACTTAAACCACCTTCTGAAGAATAATGTGAGCTAATGTACCTGTAATGCAGTTTGCATAATTTTTAAGAACTTGACCTTTTCATGGATGCTAATCAAATGTGTTTCTACTTACAAATCATAGCCTGAGGAATAGTACTAATATGTTGAGATATATAAGATATTTGAGCTTAGGTTCTCTGTTGTGACTGTGGCATACACTGTAAAAGCAAAAGATGGATAGAAAGTTGAACTTTGTCTCCCTGGTTGTGAACCAGCGGCTTCTCCCAGGTATCCATGTTGTAAAGTAGTTTTCTGAAATTTGGCCGACCAGCTTGTTTTACAATACAGTAAAAGCCATAAACCTAATTTTCTGAAATTACCATTTTGCTTAGTAGGCTTGAGTTTTTAATAGTTGACTCAGCTCTACCTGCTGTTTAGTGTTAAACTATTCTTTCTAAGAATTTTGAATAGAGATTCCCAGAAATTTGTCTTCTCTTTATATATCTGTACATAACTGAAATCCACCCTAAGGCACTCAGATACTTGGAAGGAGTCTATCTACACAATTGTGTTAATGTGTGACATACAATTATGTTAATATGTGTGACTTTACTTGACACACTGTAAACATTTTTAAGAGAATATATATTCTAATTAAAACCTTAGTCTGATGTCAAAGCATACTGACACTGTTACTCAGTTTCCTGGGTTTTGTCTTCTTTATACAACTATCCCTGAATTGTAGTTGGAGGGAGTAAATTCCTTTAACAAGTAGGGTTTTTAGAGGAATTGTAGTCTAAGAATATTGGTGAAAATATTTGAGGTCTATAGAAGACATTTGCTTCCATCAGTTATATGCATAATATATAAATATGTATTTCTAATAGTAAAGCAAAGTGGAACTTTCATGTCTCTGAAATTTTAAACTAGTTTTGTTTCTTATGCTCTAGGAAGGTCCTAATAGTCTGATTAATGAAGAAGAATTCTTTGATGCTGTTGAAGCTGCTCTCGATAGGCAGGATAAAATGGAAGAACAGGTATTGATACTTGAAAAATATGGGCACTTCATGGATGACTTCTGCGACTTCAACTCAGTCCTGGAGTGCATCTCCTGAAGCTCTGAGTATTTTATTCTGACACTGATAAGAGGAATTTGCTTAATATTTTTACAGTTAAATCTTGTTGCTTAACACTGATTTTGAGAAAGTGACTTCACAGCTTACATAAAAAAGGGTAGTAGAAGTGTTAAGCTAATTGAATGTCTATAGTTTCTAATTCCTAAATAAGTGTCCTGTATAAAACTTATCTTTATATGTAACTGATGCCCTGTGCAAATAAGAATATCAATCACTACAGCTATTTCTCCAAACCTAATTATTGCTCTGAAGTTTCTTGTGACTCTAGCGCTATGTAAAATAGGGAAGATGTAGTTCTGTTGGTGTTTGTTTTTACTTAAAAACTCTGTAGGCTCTGGCTACTTTTCTAACTCACTTTCTGAATACACTTCAGTGACAAGGATCAAAAAGGGGTAAGATAGATGCATGTAAGGAAATACAGAGAATATGAGAATGTATAGCAGTATATAGAATGAGTGGGAATCACAAAATGGTGCATCCTTTGTCTTAAGAGTGTTTGGGCTTATGAATATAGTGAATACAGAGACTTGGTTCAGAATTAAAAGACTTCTTAGTGGACATGTAGTACACAACAGAGTTTACAAATGTTGTTAACAAACAGTAAAAGTTTCGAGTGACTGTCATACTACTACATGGATCCTTAATGCTGATGATCTATTTTCCTTAACTCAGAAATACACCTTGAAGTATAGACAAGTTCAGTCTTCAGGCCCATTCACTTACTGAGAATTCCAGCAGGATGACAGCTTCATGCCTGTCATGGACAGCATTAGTTGTTGTAGCCACTGTGTAGATTGAGGATGACTTGCTCGCTTTCATAGTTCACCCAGTAGCAGCTGACTGCTAGTAATTAAACCTGTTTTGTTGCAGTCTCAAAGTGAAAAAGTTAGATTACACTGGCCAACATCCTTACCTTCTGGAGATGCATATTCTGCTGTGGGGACTCATCGATTTGTCCAAAAGGTAAGGAATTTCTTATGATCTCCTCTGAATAATGGGCAGACCTATGATGTTTCTATATAATACTTTTGTATGGGTAGGTGAGGGGTTTTTTTTAAGTGTTCCTAGTAACTTTCAATGGTTTACTCCTTTTCAAATGGAGTAGCTGGAATTGGAGAAGGACTGTTTTCTGTCTTGGCTCAAAAAATACTGAATTGAGATACCTATTTAGAGTGTTCTTGACTTGTATCAAGCTTGTCAGATAATAAAGAAGAAATCCCAACTTACTCACCTCAGTATTTTTAAGATGCCTTCACCAAAATTCATTGAATTGGTTTTATTAAAAAAATAAATCCAGTTGCTTGTATCAGGATCAGTTGACTTTTTTTAGTGTTACTGAAAACACTATGCTCCTCTCAGGGCTACACTGGGAGCATAATACATAATAGGTGCATGGAATCAGCATTTGCTGCTGTGCTTGCTGCTTATGGTGCTTTTGTTTCCCTTTTCTTCATTATCTTGTGCTTGCAAGTTGGTACTGAATGCTCTGTTGTGCCTTTGTTCTGATTACTTGGTTTTTTCTTTGTCTGTCTCTGGTAGCCCTATAGTCGCTCTTCCTCCATGTCTTCCATTGATCTAGTCAGTGCCTCTGATGATGTTCACAGATTCAGCGCCCAGGTACTGTATTAATGTGTAGAGTGGGGGTTGCATATCTTTGCTGTATTTCATCCTCTTCTCTAGAACCTGGGTTTTTGTTACATAAGTCACTGCTTGCTTTAGACTAGTACATTGAGACAAACAAAGGAGTTCTCTATTGCTGTGCTAAATAGTTGTCTTTTTACATCCAGCTTGCATGCATATCACTTGTGCAGAGGCCCAAATCTTGTGAAACTGTTGGATTTAATTCAATAGCTTTAATAAAAATGGCTACAATTTGAAAATTTTGCATTTCTGATTGTAATACAAGTAGAATTTTTTTATGTGGGTTGAAGATGGTCTTTGCCTGAAACTGAACAGTTTTTCTTGCTTTTAAATCAAAGGTTTGATTTTTGTCTTTACCACTTGTTTGTAATGACATTAAGATACTAAATGGTAAGGTTCTCTATTACCATTTTTTAACCTCTGCAAGTAGTTTTATTACTGAAAGGTCAGTATGTTCACAAACATGGGTATGAGAATTTTTACTTGGAAGAGTTTCAATATATTCACTTATCCTTCAGAAAATGTCTGACATCCTGAATATGTCAAATGTAGTTGTAGTGACATATTCCAGTAACGTACAAAATTACTCTGAGTTCTTGCTCTGAAGATCATAGTTTAGAGTAGAATTAGATAAGTGAGTTCATGTGTTTGCTCTTTAGTCTCAAAAAAAGTTCAGACATGGCATTCACGCCATTAGTTTCCTTCTACTGTGATCCCTGTGTGATTGTGAATGTGGAGCTTTCCTCTGGGATCTGTTATTTTGGAGGTTTTTTGAAATTACTAACTAATGCTGCAAATAAACTGCTTTTTTCAAATAGAAGGAATGGAATTGTACTACCTGCAGACCTTACTACCAGCTTTGAGCAGGACCCTAACACTTAAGGACTTGCTTATTGGACTGAAATCCCAACACTTGCCTTGACTTTTTGCAGTCAGTTAATTTCTGAAATTTGGACTTACCATAAGGCAAAATTTATGCAGGTCATATTGCGCAACACTGATAGGCTCATCTACTGGTACTCCAGTAGTCAAGTTAGTTTTTCAAGTTTGTTTTTGTTTGGAAGGAGGGAGGAAATCAAGTAATAGAAAACAATTTTGATGCCAAAGATTGGTTGTCTGTCAGGCTATGGGTACATGTGCAGTTCTATGTAAGGGAAACTCATAGTTACTGAAATATGCTGGCCTCCTCATTTTCACCTCTTTTATGCCTGTGATAGTATTTGTGTATTCATATGATAAACCTGAGCAGCAAAAGCGCTAGCATGGCTGAAAAACTAACCATTTATAAACAAATCTGAGATGGACCAGGTCCTTATCACGATAATGCAAATTCAGGTTAAGGATCAGCTGGACTGGAGTTGAGTTGTTGCTCTTTTCAGCTACTGCATGGATTATACCATGTAGAAGTTACTACTGAGTTCCTTCAAATGCAGTTCAAAGTTAATGGACTCACTGCAGAAAGGATGATCTTCTTAACTTATAGGGAACTACTTTCCCCACATCCCCCTCAAATGTTTTCCCTAGAACAAATTTTTGCCAGATCAACAAGTCAGACAACCTGCTTTGGAGCTTCATTGCTACTGAACAAGCAGGTGAAAGACAACTGAGAGCATGAAGAGGAAAGCAGCATACCTTCTTTTGGTGGGAACCTGCTCTGGACCTTATTAATATGAAATTAGACTCTCTCCCCAGGCTGAGGATTTGGCTTTTGAAAAGGCAAGCTAATATCTTGATTCTGAATAAATGTGACTTGTTTCTAGACTTCATTCACACAAAGGGAGTTTTGGTATTGGTCAAGTAAAAACTTGCAGCCTTGTTTTTAAGGTTGAGAAGTATAAACATGTATTCTGATGGGAGCTTGCTCTTCAGTATGCCTCTAGAAAAGCATTGATTTGTCTCTGCCAGTTGAGTAGGAGGTCAGATCACTTTCTTCTAAAGTGCAGTTTCTTTTTAAAGTGCAGATCACTTTCTTTTAAAGGACTATCAGATTTGAAAATAGATTGAGCTGTTCTGAGGACCTTTAAAGTGAAGAACTTCCAACTTAAACGTTCAGGCCAAGGCTGCATGGCATACAGGTTACAGGTATTTTTGCAGACCATTCCTGTAGCCTGCTGGGAACCCAGAGGTAACAGTGTGGCCTCTCCAGTGGGAAAGAAGCTGTGAACCTTGACTCGGTGCCTCTGAAATACATGCAGGTTGACAGACAGTGACCAGTGCATAGATTACATACAGTTTGGACAGGTAGTGAGCACAAGGCAGTTGTAGGTACTGCAATTCCTCGGTGAAGCAGAAGTAAGAAACTGTTTAGATTGCACTCCTGTGGATACCTCCTTCTCTTCTTCCCTTGCTATTCCCCTCATCTCTCTACATTTAGCATAAAGCAAAAAGCATCACACATTTTTACCTGGTCTGGATTGTACTGTCATTGTTTCACTGGGAAAAAAAATAAATAAAAGAATCTTTCATAGGAAACTGGCTAGTAACTGGCAGGAAAAGATGGCCTGTCTAAAGGCAGAAACTTGTAGGTGTTTTTAGTTCATTGTAACTCAAAACCAAAAAAAAAAGGAAGAAAAGAAAACCCCTGAAACTGGACTGATAACTTCCTTCTGTAGAGAATTGTATAGTTAAAATAAGAATAACTTTGCATCCAATGGATTTTATTTTGATGTTGTACTTCGAGGATTTTGACTTGATTCAATTAACTTTTGCTTCCTGGTCTTCAGTGTATTGCCCATGGAGTACAGAGTACAACAAAATTACTACTTTAATTTAAAAGTAAATAACGCCTTTCAATTCAGTTCATATCAGAAAAAGATCATTAAGTGTTCTTTAATTTTTCTTTCTATTTTTTGTACTACTTGCTCAAATGTATGTTTTACATGTTATTTTATATGCACACTGGGCTTTATACTTTTGTAAGTTACGCAAAACCACTTATGTGTTCAGGCTATTAATCTTGTGATTATGCACTACTTAGACTAATCTTTGTGTTGCTCAGTTAACTAAGTTTTGCTTGTAGTGCTTTTCCTTTTGAAAAAAATGATATTTCTAGTAATTCAGGAGAATAGCGTCAATCACATGGACTTACTTGCTGTGACAAGTTTTAGTAGTCACCTCTCTTTTGGGTGGAAAAAAGTTACTGAAGTGTTTCTAGTACTTGTGAACTTTACACAGCAATGGATACCTTATATTTTTGCTTCTGTTTTTATTTGAAGGAGAGTGGGATTTGGAAAGGAGTGGGGAACCAGAGAAACAGAGTAAGATTGTAGATTTAAAATAAAAATCCGTTTCCTGTCCCAGCACCCATTTTCATGCACATTATATCGAATAAAAAAAAGAAGTATTCACATAGCTTGATAAAATTATATCAAATATTTGGCCTTTAAGAAAAGCACACAACTGTCTAGCTAAATTTTTTAATTAGTATTTTGTACTCATATATAATAGAGTCTCTGTATTATCATAATTTTCTTGAAGGTAAGCATTTCTGGGCTTTTTTTCTAGCTGGTAACTGTGCAAAGATGCCAGTGAAACAGAATAAGCGTGCTTTGCTCGTGGCTGTTTACTTCACTGCTCTTTCAATATGACTTTTGATACGCATTTACTTTTTTAGAGCTTGTCTATCTTCTGCCCCATCCCTCCCACCTGCCTTTGTTCAGCTTTTTAAATGCTCTTCAGTGAATATCTTACAGTGCATTGTAATTCTATTTAGAGATCTGAAGTAAGCTCCTATATGCTGAAATAAAACTGTCTTAGGTAGAAAATAGTGAGTTTTGACAGTTTACAGGTGCAAAGGAGGGATAGGAAGTACCTGTAAAGAATTAGGTTGGAAGTTGAATCAAGATTTCAGCTTTTGTTTTTGAAGGCCAGAACTATCTGCTTGTTCTTAACTTGTAATAGAAAGCACTATTGTCCAAATTCAGCTCCTGCACAGGATTTGAAGTATTGACTTGTGGCTTCCAATACTGTACAGTCTCTGCCCAAGAAGCTGGGAGGAATGAGTTAAAAATGTGTATTTTTTTTTCCCTTGAAGGTGGAAGAGATGGTACAAAACCATATGACATATTCCTTGCAAGATGTAGGAGGAGATGCCAATTGGCAGCTAGTGGTAGAAGAAGGAGAAATGAAGGTAAATGTTCATGTTTTTGTTTAATTGACACAAGATGATATGCTGTGAAGACAGATGCTTTGTCTGGTGGACTTGGCAGTGTTAGGTTTATGGTTGGACTCAATGATCTTAAGGGCCTTTTCAGACCTAAATGATTTTATGATTGTCTCTGAATACTATCACTCACCAAGGTGCTGTTAAAACTTCTCTCTGAGAGTATCATTTAAGTTGGGACTGGAGTCCACAAGAGCTGTGGCTTCTAATATATTTATTCCAACTAAATCCTGTGCAAGTCTTGCAACAGCTTTGTCTTTGCAGATTCCTTTCTTATTCTCCTGCTTAAAACTTGGTATCAAAGTGATGTGTAAATTCAATGTATGAAAATGTTAGAGTAGCAAATTACTGTGTTGGCTGCTCTACTGTGCTTGTTATGGATCCTTGTGCATAGTGATAAATAAGGTAGCTTAATCATTTTTTTGGAGTAGAGATTCTTAAAATACTGGTATTTTAATGTGAATTGCCATGTAAGAATGTCTGCATTGGTAGTTTACCAGAGAACACTGACACAGCAAATTATTCATGTGTTAGTTGTCTAGGTAAGTGTTTTTTAAAAAAACTGATTAAATTTTAAACAATTAAAACATGAACAGTTTTGAGAATTTGTGTTCTACATTTCTTTCTTTGTATTTGGCTATAGGTATACAGAAGAGAGGTGGAAGAGAATGGAATAGTTTTAGATCCTTTGAAAGCAACCCATGCCGTTAAAGGAGTAACAGGGCATGAAGTTTGCCACCACTTCTGGAATGTCGATGTTCGTAATGACTGGGAAAGTAAGGAATTGGTTCTTAACCTTTGCATATTTATCAGCAAGGATATTGTTTATAACATTGACCTGATATCTGTGCTTGTTTACTGATGGATTTTTTTTTTTCTCCCCCACCTCCTCCTCTTTTAGCAACAGTTGAAAATTTCCATGTTGTGGAAAATCTAGCTGATAATGCAATCATCATTTACCAGACACATAAGGTAATAACACTTCAGCCGTATGCACACCTTACTGAAACAGTCTGGGGCATATGTGTTCTAATCTTATTCTGAATACGTTAATGGCTTAACACTTTAAACAACAACATTTCAGAACAAGTTCACTATTAAACTGCAACTTTGTCAATTTTTCAAATGTATCTTGATACCATAATTGGTTGTGCATGTGTCTGATAGAGCTTGTAATAACAAATTAAGACTCTTTTTAATCTCTAAATATGTCACTGCCAGCAAGGCAAGAGTCATCTAAAGCAAACAAAAGCAATAAATAGACACTGACTACAAGGAAGGAACCTATACCACTGTATCGTAATGTTTCATTGCAGTAATGCAAGCTGTTGTTGACCAAATTAGTTGATGTACGCGTTTGCATGATGAGGTGGTATAATTGCTAGTACAACACATGTTCTTGTAACTTCATTGTATTTTTCCTTGCCCAGCCAGTTCTGATGTGAATTTACTAAAATGTTCATTTGAATTATAACCCAACAACTGTAACTTAAAGGTTCAAAAAAAGTGGGAATGAAGTGTGCAGATTCGTCTTTAATCTGGCATGATTCCAAGTATTAGTATACTCAAATAGTAAACCAGATATTTTTATTTGACAATTTTACCAGTAGTGTGGTTGCCTTAAAACTTGTGTAACAGAGGACTCATGATTTAGAGTAAGACAGTTATGTAAACTGTATAGTGTTGTGGTAAAAGCTAGATTTCCATGCCCCTCCCCCCCCACCACCACCTTGAGTGTCAGGAAAATGGCACTTGTGTATTTTCTTATTTTATCAGACATTTTGTTTCTGAAACTTTCTCTTGGAGAAGATTAGTTTACCATGTCTTTCTTACTGAAGCAGTAGCTTTTGGAAATACTTGTTTTAAATATGTCTCTCCCTCTCTCTCACTCTCTTGGGAGACATAAGTAACTGTAGATGCATCTGTTTATACTTAACCACTAGTTCAGTTTGTAGCTTACAAATATTAATTAAAATGTAAACCTGAGGTTGAGGGAACAGGAGGGGAACTGCCTCTTCCTGTTTGTCTACTGAAAAAGTCATTGAAGCTTGGCTTTCTGCATTTCACAGGCCGCAAACTTTTGCTTTGATTTTTTTAAATTTAAGTGTAACTGTATAACCTGATACGCATCTGTACAACAGCTGTGTTCTGTTTCAGTTTTGAAAATTAAATTACTAAATTGGAAAAACTTAAATAACATGACTGATCTGGTTTGCCTTGCTTGTTTTTTTCTTTATCTAAGGATAGTAAGTACATAATTTGCAAAACTCAAAAAGCTTATATTCAGGTGTTTCTCTGCAGAGGGTGTGGCCAGCTTCTCAAAGGGATGTGCTGTATTTGTCTGCCATCAGAAAGATACCAGCATTCAGTGAAAACGATCCTGAAACATGGATTGTGTGCAATTTCTCTGTGGAACATGACAGTGCTCCTGTAAGTATTATTTTCATTCTGTCAAGTTCTGCTTTTAGGATAACGTTTTTCTATTACGTTGTAATATATGTGCAGCACTAGTGTGAAGGAGGTGGCAGGGGTTATGCAAAAATACAGTTGATTTAAACCAAGTGATGCAATGACCTGCTGAAGGCATTCTGAGCCAAAAACTTTCTTGCCTTATCTCAACAGTTGGCAGATCTAAGGTGTTGCAGCAGAATGGAAGAAAAATTTCTGGAGATGTGAAAACATTTTAAAGAATTGAGGTTATTCTGTATGGAATCAACTCAATAAATCTTCTGTAATGTCAGATACAGGAGTAGGCTTGTATAATTGTAGATACAGAATCTGTTAAACCTCTATCTTACACAGTTCTACCTTGGTTCTGTCAGATAGTAACAACGGTTGTTTTCTTTGGTGTATTTCTGTTCTGATTGCTATGCCATAGCCTGCTTACAAGGGAAGAGTTACTAACTGGTATTTGTAAATGCTGATACATTATTCTTGAAATGTTTCTTTACTCATTTGTCAAAATAATTGAAGTAATGCACTTGTAATAGTATTAAGCAAGCAGAAACTTGAGATTCAGGCATTTTAGTTTAACCTGTTTCCTATTCACCATGTGCCTTTCATTTCACTTACATTCATGTTACATCCATAGTGCTAGAATGCAGGCTCTCAGAAACAGAGCTTCTGGAGTGTCTCAGACTTTGTAGTAAGTTAAAATGTTAGCAGTCAAGTAGGCTGAAACAAATTTAGTTTTAAGGCTTACGAATGTTTTGGTTTTTTGGCAGCTGAACAATCGCTGTGTCCGTGCCAAAATAAATATTGCTATGATTTGTCAGACATTAGTAAGCCCACCAGAGGGGAACAAGGAAATAAGCAGGGACAACATCCTATGCAAGATTACATATGTAGCTAATGGTAAGTCTAAAATTTTTCAGTATGACATTCATGATACATGCTAACTCTGGGGAGCTCAATACTGGCAAAAAAGCTAGATGCAGTTTTCTGTTAAATTCGTATATAGCATCACACTTGTGGTCTTCATGTTTAAAAAGACTTGGAGTAATGTGCTACATGAATCAGTGAATGGAATCATTCATTGTGTGGCTTTCTGGGAGGAATAAACGGAAGTGGTGTGTAGCTCAGTCTTAAGTACTGAATCTTGGGGTAGAAAAGGGTGGGCAGAAGAAATGTCTGCGACTGGGATGACTTGGCATAGCTTTTAGTTTCAGTTACAGTATGGTTTTTTTCATGTATTGCTGTAATGGTTTTTCTTCCCCTGATACATCTTGCTAGGCTGAAAAGCTGCTGATAGTAAAGATACAGTTTTTACCCTCAGTGTTAAGAAAGAACGAATATGTTTTGTATGATGATATTTGCAAGCTGTATAATCTAGTATGCATGGGTTTTTAAATTTTTAACTGATAGAATCCTTGGTATTGACTGAAAAGTTATGAAAACCAAACTGTATTGTTACTGTACCCAGTATTTAGCAGTGTATTGTAGTAGTATTGGAGCTATATACTTATTAGCTCCTCTCCTGCAGCTGCAAAACACTTCAAGAGTAGCTCACTTGTTTATTACTTTTAAGCACCTGTTACATGGCTTACTAAAGAATCAAAGTCTGAAAAATTGGTTCAGTAAATCTTTGGCATGTAGGAGTGATGTAATTTGTATGAAATCCTGTACAAATAATACTATATGGTGTGAAACTCGGGGGTAAACAGTTTTGTTTCCTTTTTAGAAGTCTCCCAATTATTTAAAAATATAATTTCATTTATAAATTCTGAGCTATGATTATATGGGAAGTAGCAGCTTTTTCAGCAAAATACATGCCCTGTGAATTGAAGTGTATTTTAGAATCAGTTTGAATTTTGCTTAAAGTGCTTTAAAAATAATTTGAAAGGCATTCTTCAGAAAAACGTAGCAGTTACTGAAAAATTAGGACTGACTTCTGTTTTCTTTGAAATAAGAAGTAACTTGAGTCTCTCTTTCTGTTTTTTCTTGAAAGTCCTTAGAGAATAGCATCTTCCATTTGGGCATTCCCCAAAGACTTGCAATGCATCATGTTTAATGTATTCTAAATAGTGGCATCATAGAACTGGACTGAGCGTGAATATTAAGAGTAGAAAGTGCTACAATACAAGCTGTAAAGGCATTAAAAAAAAAAACTGCTGATCGTTATTCTTTCCTATTACTTCAGAAAGAGTTGCAGGAATAACAAACTTAAATTTTATTTTCTAGTCTTCAGCAGATTTGCTGTATCTCAGTGTCTTTCTTCCTACTTACTTCTAGTGAACCCAGGAGGATGGGCACCAGCGTCAGTGTTACGGGCAGTGGCAAAACGAGAATATCCAAAATTCTTGAAGCGTTTTACATCTTACGTGCAAGAGAAAACAGCAGGAAAGCCTATTTTATTCTAGTATTAGCAGGTATCATTCATTTTTTTCATTTTTCATTCACTGTTGTAAATTTAAGGCCAAACAGAAATACGCAATCTACAAATGTCTTACCATGATTAGCATTAATTCAGTGCTTAGTTTTAATATATGTGTGCAATACACTTTTAAAAACATTCATGTAATTCATGTGTATTATTAGCATGAAAAATAAGGCCTGCACAAGTTATCAAGGATTAGTTTTTGTAGACTTTTACTAGTTTATCTTGCAAGTTTTTGCATACATGTCTAATTTATGTAGAAGTATAAAGGGACGAAGTATTGGCTTTTCTCTGCTATCCCAAGCATTTTACACTTGTTATGACAAGAATACATACTGAAGTTTCTCTAGAGCCTCATGAGGTTTTGATATCTTAAATTCTACTTGTAACTGCATATTTGATAGAATATTATGAAGGTCAAAGTATTCTTTTATATTGACAGAATAGTTTTGAACTAGGATTTTTATTAATGGAACTTCCCTGACAGACTAGTGTCAATTGCTGGAGTATTTAAAAGGCTAAGACTTAAATTTTTAGCCTTTCCAATGAGCCTGAGAAAGAAAAGGGATTTACAGATGCTTTCTGAAGTCAGTGGATGAATTTAATGGTATAGGTCACTGGGCTAATCTAAAATGAGTTTGACATTTAAATGACGATATGACATTAGAAGAGGATTTCTTGATCACTTCTGGGGCTGTGTGAATCAGCCTTAGTACTGAGTAAAGCTTTGCTTAATTTTTGTTAGTATAGACTCTTGCTATATACTTTGTTATGTATAACTGTAGTGTCAAACCACTGAATTCTGTATGGTAGTTCTAACATTACAGTGTGATCTGATAATTATTTTTAATCACTTTTTCTATGCATGACGTAGGCTAGCTCTATTTTTGGGTTCTATTTATTATGTCAGTCTCCAAACGTTTTAGTCATTTGATCCTTCTCTAACAGGTAGCCCTGTAATGATTCACATTTTTAATTGTATATTGTTAGAGAACTGTTGTAGGTGAACCATTAAAAACACAGCTGTCATGAGCCAACAGTTCAAATGTGATCATAGCAGTGCTGATATTACTAAAGGTGTTTAACAGATTCTTGTTTTCCTATTAGTGTTCAAACTTTTCAGTGCTGTGCTTTTGTCTTTGCTTACCTGCAGCAATTGGAACAAGACTGGGTGAGCATTCCACATTGGAGAAGTGACCATGCACAGAGCACTCCATGCTGGAACGAAGGATCTACAGTCTTTTTATGGCCCAAGTTCTAGGCTTTGTATACTGAAGTGAAGAAGTGTTGCAACACGATGAGGCTGAAAATTTAACACTAGCTCTTTCCTGCTAACGTTTCTTGCTGAATCAGTGTGTAATTATAAATACATGTACTGATAACATGTATATGGCTCTATTTTTATTTGCTTGCTTTAGAAGAGGAGGAACACGTACAGCTTTGAATCACCAATGTGGGTTACTGCTTTAATTTTAAACAAGTCACAGAATTTCACTGTCAACTTTCCGAAGATACTCGTGCAGTTTTTGTGCATGTCTAAAAAGCACAAAAGACAAATGCACATATAGCATACTGTATGTGCTTTATATGCACAAAAATCTCTGTGGTATTTGAGGAGGGGGAAGGACTTCAGTAAAGCCTATTGGCAGGTTTTGTTTTGCTTTGTATAATCACAGTTCATTGCTGCTGGTTTCTATAATGAATCATCTTGTTACATAAAATGTCAGTTAATAACTGAGGGCTGTCAATATCCTTATGACTTTGCCTTTTCTATTGTCTTACTCTTATGACGATCTTTAGTTCTGAAGGAGTAAGAGTGTGAAAAGCTTTATTTTTTTCCAGATATCTTTATATTTCTATTGTATTTTTTAGTTATGTGCTACAGAATTCTTGTTATTAAACATGATCCAGAAATATCTAGGGAGATTCTGTATGAGAGGGCAAGAGACTGCCTGAAAGCTAGAAGTCATCTGTCCATGCTGTATGTGGACCGCTTTCTTGCATGATATCCAGGACCTTCCCAAATCTGTGAGAAGGTACACTATAATATTTATTGAGGTAATTTGAACTATATAAGACAACATTCCCAGTCTAGAATGAGGATGAGTACATTATTTTCAGATACTGCATGTGTTTTCCTCATCTTAATGAAGCCATGCTGTGAGGTTCATGTAGCAAATGATTTGCCTCTTGATCAAAAACCCATCAGAGCTGTAAGAATGCTTAGTTCTTACTGGAAAGTTCCCTTTAGTTGCTGTGAGAATTTAAATGTCAGATATTTGCCTGCCTTTGATTCTGAAGGGAGATGCTCATTAGGAGAGGGCTGGGGCAGACTGGTGCTGACTTTGAGGTCTTTTATCCATGTCTCATAGTTGGAACTCTTCAGAGACTGCTTGGTGTTTCACTAACCTGTGTATCTCAAGAAAAAAGTTTCAGATATATTTTTTTCCAAAAGAAAGCTGAAAGTCTTATTTGATATAGTATGGTAGGTGCCTGAAAATAAATATAATATAGTAACTTAATGAAGATTTGGTAAATGATTAAATGTGATCTGCACAGTGTTGCAAAACTTTACCTGTTCATCTTCTCTGCAGAGATGAAATCATACATAACACATGATTATACATGCATGCAGATGTCATGCTCCATAACTCTTCCCTTTTTATTTGCCTTTCTCTAATGGTGTGCATGGAATATGCCTTATTACAGAGTTATTCTGTTAATTTGAATATGTAGAAAAGTGCCTATATGGTAATGCTAGTAAGGCAAATAAGATGAAAATTTGTACATGTTTACTATATCACCAGTGACCATTTTATATAGCGATGTTAAAAAAAAAAATCTTATACCTCAAATGTACTTCATCTTTTTACAATCAACCAAGCAATGGTACATTCCACCATAGCCACTGATGGGAACTCTAAAAAAAAAAAAAATAATCCAAAATATAAAGAGTTTAACTCCTTATTTGCTGTTTCTGGTAATTGTTGGAACACAGGCAAGTTTATTAATTATTTGGATAGCTTTATTTTACAAAGGTATGGAAAGTTTACAAAGCAGTATATAAACTTATATCATTAGTTGCATTTGCACTAAATGTGATGTACTTTTGCGATTTATTCTGTAAATAAAATTACACTACAGATACTATTTGTAAAGAATACATTTTACTTCTAGATAAAGGCACTGGTACTTCACTACAGCAAGCCCTGCCCAATTAGAGTTCTAAGAGGTTTTGTAAAAAATACGGAAGGAGTTGCAAGACTGAGAAATCGGTATTAATTTACCTCTTTAAAAACAAACAAAAAAAAGGCAGTTCTCTGTGTGCCTCTCAGATTGTCTGTGTGCAAGTAGCCTTTAGATCCATTCTTCTGGAAGGGATCTTGCTGATACGGTTTTATAAAATTTGCCCTTTCTCTTGAGCTAATCCCTCTTTTCAGTCGCTGCCATGTTATCTGTGCACTCTGAGTTCACTTCTTCCTGTTAATGGATCGGGAGTATTTATACAGCTGTGGTCGTCTTTGCAGAAGCAGCTTCTGACTCTTGAATGGATGTTTTTATAAGCTGAATCAATTTGAAGGGCTGAGAACGCAGCAATCTTCTCCATCAGATACTGTTCTCTGAATATCTGTGTCTGTCTGGAGAATTTGGACGTGGCCAAACTAGGTCTGAAGGAAATGACTTCATAGAACTTGTATTGGGGATAAGGATGAGATGGTCATTGTTATCCTGTCTTAGAACCTGAACATACTATTTTGACAAATTTATCTGTGAAAAATGTGATGCACTTTGAAAAAAAAACAACTACCTTTTACTTAATTGGGCTGAGCTGGCTTATCTGAAGTTGTGCAGATTCTCTTTAATCAGATTGTCCGCCTGTATTTTTGTCAAGTTGTACAGATAATGCTGTATTTGAATTGCCACTGTTCATCTACAGACTTAAAACATGAATCATATTTTTGAGTACCTTGAGTGTGTAGAGTATAACTGTTTGTTCTATAATAGCTTTATGATCCTAATGATAAGTTTTAAAAATTAAAAAAGTTGGCTCTTCCATGTTACAATCACAAATTTAAAACCAGTATTTAAAAGTGAGAAGTATTAAAAATTATGAAGAAAAAATCCTGGTTTGTAGTTATTTTTAACTTCCAGTGCATTGGAGAAACTTGATCTAAAACATTTTATCTTTCAACCATCTTTTAGATCATGGATAAAGTTATATATGACATTATAGTGTATGGAAAACACTTAACAGGAAACTGGTTTGCTTGTATTACTGAGGTTACTGAGATGGAAACTTCAATGCCACATTATATATGGAAAAGCTCATTTTGTGCTTGCATATCAGAGGCATGTTAAAGATGTTCCTGTACAGTATGGTCTTAATACAGACCACTTCGAAAGTATTTTTAGCTCTTGTCTTCATTTGTACAGAATTAACAACATTATGAAAATTTCCATGGGAAGAATAGAGATCCAGGAGTGAGGAATGCAAGAGGATAAACTTGCTTTTTGTAAAGTGGAAGAATTTTTGAGAATTGAGATGAGCTTCTATAAAGCAAACTTTCTTAATAGCAGAAATAGCTGGTGCCTAATGGATCAGTAACAATCCTGCCTTTATTTGTTATGCAGGGATTTCTACTACTTGTATAGTAATCAGTAAAGACATAGAAACCTTCTAAGTACACCAGACTGGAGGAACAGTTTGAAGTAACAGAAGGCATTACTCGCACAGAAAGAAAACTTACCGTAAGCTCAGCTGCATTAGGCATCAGGTAATATATTGCAACAAATACAGAGTCCTGAGGTAAGCCCTGCCCTTGAAGAATGCAGCTGTTCTGGCTGACAAAAATCCCCCATCAGTGAGGTGGATTGAGAACTGGCTGAATGGCAGAGCTCAGAGGGTTGTGATCAGCAGCGCGGAGTCTGGTTGGTGGCCTGTAGCTGGTGGTGTTCCCCAGGGGTCAGTTCTGGGTCAAATCTTGTTTAACCTATTGGTCAACAACCTGGATGAAGGGATGGAGTGTACCTTGAGCAAGTTTGCTGATGATACAAAACTGGGAGGAGTGGCTGATACACCAGAAGGCTGCACTGCCCTCCGGCAAGACCTGGACAGGCTGGAGAGTTGGGTGGAGAGGAACCTGATGAAGTTCAACAAGGGCAAGTGTAGGGTCCTGCACCGAGGGAGGAATAACCCCGTGCACCAGTACAGGCTGGGGGTTGACCTGCTGGAGAAGGACCTGGGAGTCCTGATGGACAACAAGTTGACCATGAGCCAGCAATGTGCCCTCGTGGCCAAGAAGGCCAGTGGTACCTTGGGGTGCATGAGGAAGTGTGGCCAGCACGTCGAGGGAGGTTATCCTCACGCTCTACTCTGCCCTGGTGAAGCCACATCTGCAGCACTGTGTCCACTTGTGGGCACCCCGGTTCAAGAAAGTCAAGGAGCTACTGGAGAGAGTCCAGCAGAGGGCAACAAAGATGATGAGGGGACTGGAGCATCACCTTTATGAGGAAAGGCTGAGAACTCGGTCTGTTCAGCCTGGAGAAGACCGAGAGGAGATCTGGTTAATGCTTATAAATACCCTAAGGGTGGGTGTCAAGAGGGTGGTCCCAGACTCTTTTCAGTGGTGCCCAGCAACAGGTTAAGGGGTAATGGGCACAAACTGAAACTCAGGAAGTGCCATCTGAATATGAGGAAGGACTTCTGTACTTTGAGGGTGGCAGAACACTGGAACAGGCTGCCCAGAGAGGTTGTGGAGTCTCCTTCTCTGGAGATGTTCAAAACCCACCTGGACAAGATCCTGTGCAACTTGTTGTAAGTGAACCTGCTTTGGTAGAGGGGTTGGACTAGATGATCTCCAGAGGTCCCTTCCAACCCCAATCATTCTGTAATTCTGTGAAAATAAAAATAATATGGTTGCATTCTTGGTCCCATAAATTATGTGTGTAATTTTAAAAAATACATACTTTACAGTAGGAGAGGTAGAACATTTCTGTAGCCATCTGTGTGACTACAATACAATTTCACCCTAGGTATAACAAAGGTAATTACTTAGGGTTATGCCATGCAATTTACCAGTGTGTATTACTAGTTGTATTGCTATTATTTTTAGTCTCCAGCTATAAAAGCTAAGTCTTATAGAAGGAGAAAAGTGTATTTCATTAGATAAAGAAAAGGATAGACTTTGAGCATTAGGTGCCTGAAAGTGTCTATTTTTCTTTACCATTGATGCCGTAAGCTTTTTTCCTCTGCACACCTGCCTCTTCTATGCATAGACTACAGCTGGAATAGGGAAGGCTGGTAATGTGGATTGGTGCAATTTTTAAGGTTTAAACTAATTCTCCTTAAGAACTTTTTTGAATGATCACTTTTATTTTTGAAAACTTAAGACCAAGCAACAGTCAGACCTATTGTCATCTAAAGTGTAAAAACTTCAATTAGGAACTTTCAATTCAGTCTGCCTTTGCCTGAGCTGGTCTGCCTGAAAATCCAGGTGGGATTTTCATCTCTATCACCATTACATTAACATCAACACTCTGTGATTTGTTTGCCCCACCACCTAGGAAGAAACTTGGAAGCTAAATTACCAAATGAGTTCCTTTCAGATGCAATGGGAAGGACCTGCATGCCTGTTTTCTGTGTGTCCTTGTACTTACAAGTACCTACCCTTTGAAAAGCTGGAATACAATGTTAAACTCTTCTGATCCATTGGACTTCTTCCTAAAATTTCACATCATGAGAGACAAGCCACGGATCATGGAAGCCTGTGGCAAGCGATTCCTAACCAGTGTTACGGTGGCAGGATATGATAACAGCCCTGAGGATTCCCATCTGCCGGGGTGGGACTGCACCTGAATCATGGTGCAACCTGGTGAGTTCAGAGCTCTGGGACCTACCCCTCACCCCCAGGGAGTTATGCCCTGTAATAGTATATTAAAGGATTCCAGACTCAGAGGGCCAGGATAGTATGCTGTCTGATGAGGGTGAGTTGTGCCTGAGTATGAACAAAAGAATTGTAGGTGTATCCATACCCTCCAGAAAATAGTTCCAGTCTCAGTAATGAGCAGTCACACAGCTCACGTCATTGCCTGTACCCTGTGGGAAGTCATTGCGATGTATTCAGTGTAATGGTGCTCTCCAGCTGGTGTTCAAGTACGTGGTTGTCCCCGCTCCCCATACGTAGTGCCTGCATCCATGGAACACTGGAGATGCTGCACTTGGTGAGCACTAATGCAGTTGTCATGCTTTATCTTGCCCAAACTCCAGTGTTGGAAACATAGGTGGTAACTTAAAAGGCTTTTTTTGAAGCTTTTTGTGGGAGGGGTCTTTGCCTTTAGTTGTTACACAGAGAGTTGTGTAGTGCTACAGAGCGGCAATGTCTCCAACAGAAGTTGGTACGCTTTAGTAGTGGGTAAAACTGTTGCCTTCTGTAAAGAACTTAAATAAGCTTATTGACATTTCTCATCTTTGGTGTTTTTTTTTCCCAACCTTTGTTTGTTTGAACTGTATCTGAAAACTCTCAAACCTCATTCAAATATCACCGAAATACAGGGAAGGTAACTAACCATCCTACTATCGAGCTACTAAACAAAATCATCACTAGTTCAATTAGCAGCTGTATGATGCTCTTAATTGTTTAATGTGTCAATTTTTGATATTGCTGTCAGGTGTGAGAAGTCTAATAATAAAAAAACCTATGCAATTTACTGCTTTCTCATTAGCTATGACTAATGAGAAATTATAATGCCATACCCAATAAATAATAATGCCATACCCAACTTCAGTGAAAAAGATGAAAATGTTAAAAGATTTGAAAACCTCTTGCAATTGTAGTATTGCTAAATTGTTTTCCAATTCTAACTTTGGTTATATGAGAAATAGTTTCACTATAAAGTATCTTATGTCCTCGCTGTTCTTGTTACATATGCTGTTACTCTTCTATTGTAAATAGGTGTACACTTGCTCTTTTATACTGTGTAGTTCCGGTGTTTATGGTTCTGTTAAACAACACCTCCTGCATTAAAGGATATTAACTTCATGTATTACTCAAAAGAAAAATTTTGGATGATTAGGTAGGATACATGAATGGTGCTTTACAAAAATAAAAGCAGCACTGGCATGTGGTTACGCAGAAGGATGAATTCCTGTAAGTCTGACATTTTTGGATTGTTGGGCAATTAACAGGTATCTCCCCAACAGGAGAAGGAAAACTACCGATATTAGCATTTACTGATGTTTTGAATGGCATTAATTTAAAGTGTCCACTTTTGTTCACATCCACAAGTAAAAGAAAAAACACTCAATAATTGCAATTGACAAAACTGATATGCAGTCCTTTATTTCCCTCTCTCTGTTTTGATTTGCCCACAAAAGGCTTTTTAGAAAAACACCCTCTTCAGGAACACTAACAAAACCAATGCCTTAACTGCCCAGCTTTTCAATCACATTAGTCTTTTGGGGTCAATTTTTTCCAGGTGCACTAGAGGCTTCAGTTGCTCTGCAAAGTTCCTCATGTCGTCAGAAACGACGTCCTGTCCTGCTGGCGCTACCACATTGAGCTCCACCAGGTAAGAGAGAGAGAGTGGCTCAATGCTCTCCGTGTTTCCCGGCATTAAGATGCGGAAGATCTTGTACACCACGATCTTCATGATGCCCTTGCGGAACACGTGCCCTTTGGCCACAAACTCGTGGTCCATGCGGAAGCCCATCTCCACCAGAAAGTCCGTCAGGTTGTCTGAAGTAGCAATGTCTACACAGTTGCGCACCAGTGCGTGACGGTTCTTGTCCCCTATCTCTGGCTGGCCCAGGTAGCGCAAATGCCAGGGCATCCCGCTTTTGTCCATGGACCGCCG